CTGCCTTCCTCTGGTGCTAACTTTTCACACGTAGATAACCACAGTCCGGTACTGGAGGAGAGTGTTTTCTTAGCCAGTAATATTAGAGGTGTGGGGATTTAGTAACTGGGCATGCTTGCGGCGATTAGCTCAGGACTTGATTGAAAGCTATATCTGACTTACCTAGTTAAGCAGTTTTGTATAAAACTTGAGCAGAAAGACTTCTTTCAGTCTCTGTTAGGGGCTGAAGTCCAGGTCTAGTTTTGGTTCTTTACCACATCTAGGCCCTTCTCCACCATTGGTCTTACGCTCCCTGCCCTTCCCTCTTCTCTGTCTTTGTACCTTTAATTCCTGTTCGTTATTTGGCATTTTTTCTCTCTGGCCCTTGAATATTTTGTGGCAGTGTTGTTGTTGTTGTTGTTGTTTTAGCACTTTTAAATGTTCTTTTAAAAAAGATTTTAAATGTTATCCTGTCATTTCTATGCACGTGGAAGTGATGAAAGGGACAAAAGTGTTAATTTCGTTCATTGCTTTGGAGTTTTGATAGTAGACTTTTCTTTAAGTTTTATTCTTTTTAAAATCTCTGTATCTCATCTTAGTATCACTTTCTACCCACTGAGTCAGTTGAAGTCACAGGCCCTGAAAAACAACCTTACTACCTGGGGTTTATATGAAAGTACGTAACAAGGAAGGTCATAGACACAGGCTTTCGATTAAGTCTTGAGCTAACCCAGCCATTAGATCTCAGTATTCGTTTCATACACTTTCATGAAAATACTGGTGTCTTAAAAAGATTCACAATTTGTTTCTTAATAAGTGATACTAAATAGAATACATTTCAAATGTGACAGTTTACAAATATAAAACTTCAAGTATAAAATGTAACTTATAAATATATATTACCCCATACATTTTCTTTAGATATAAATCATCAGCAGATTAAAATATTCTAGTATTATTCAAAAATAAATACTATATCAAAATAAAACTGCACGGGTGAGGTATTATTTGATCTTAAAAAATGGCTTTAAAAACCTAATATGGTATTACTGATGAGTGGAACAACCGCTCTAATGTTAGAACTGCTGAAAACGCTCTTTGACTCTCCACTGGTGTGATGTATTATGGGAAAAATGTATAAATTATTTCCACATTTTCTTCTTGACTGTTTAATCTTTACGTGATCCCATCTTGTGATAACTTGTAGGGGGTGTGGAGTAAGCAGGGATTTAGTCCTTTTGTTGATGTCAAGCTGTAGTTTCTTTTTCCCCCAGAGGATTTCTTTTTTCATCATTATGTGTAGATGGAGATTTTAATGCAGTTACTTTTATCATATCTGTATGAAGTATTCATATTCCATTTGTTTGAAAAGTCTGTGAACTAGAGGAAGAGATTTATTCTTGTAATAGAAGCTTTTGCCTTGTCAATTAAAATTCTTTCTTCTTGTAGAGGTTATGGAGGTATAGAAGAAGGCTTTCCAAATAAATGCACCTTTCTTTGATTTAAAATCATTAATTATGGGTATATCTAAAAATATAAGTGATTCAGATTTTACATTTTAAACCAATAAGTTTATTGCTATTTAATAATAGCAAAATTATACCAAAAAGATCTAGCAGTGATTTGGTAGTTAAAAATAGCTGAGTATGCTGAAATGCTGGAATCCTTGAGAAGCAAGATCATCTGTCCTGGAGAGGGAAATTGTGGGTGTATGTGTGTGGGATCTCAAAGTATGAATTTAATAATCTCAACTTCACTGGAAATTGAACATTTATTGGGATCTCAAAGTATGAATTTAATAATCTCAACTTCACTGGAAATTGAACATTTATTGTTTTTAATGTATTTTTTCCTTTCGGTTCAGGAGAATTAAGATTGTTTTATGTGTCTGCATTAATGATCTCAGTAGGCAAAAAGAATTTTAATTTTGATAAAAAGATTTTGTAGTTTACTCTTAACATCTTGCCCTTTCTGTTATTAAGGAATATTTTCATAAAGTGTGGACAAAATTTTTGAAGAATGAAAATTAAAAATAGGAAGCATAACTGAATGGTAAACATTGCAGTTTCTCTGTAATTAGTAAATTTAAAACTCAAGTTGCCTTTCTAATTTTCCCCACGTTTTCTACCATACTCAGATTCCTAAAAGGCCTTTTAATTGCTGTTTTATTTTTTGCAATCCTCCAGTTCTTTAAGCTCCTTCTTTACTCTTCCAGGCTCCTGTTGGTGGTAGTCTGGTCATTGAGACTAAGGGCATGAGTTAAGTATGTTGGACCTTTACATTTTAGGTAGTATTTGCTGTGTCATTTCCTAATAGCATGAACTTGGACAAAGCAAAGTCACTTAATATCTAAGCCTTAGTTTACTTTTTAAAATGAAGAGTATTTCTTCATGCCATCTTCAGAGTTACTTGGGGATGAGACAGTATATGCAATAGTGTTTTAGAAATATTGTTACCTTCACAGGCATATCCTTTGAGTGATTAAAGAGTTTGTTTCTTATTAGTTTTTTTACCCTCAAGTTAGATGTATGTACTTTTTATTATTTTGATTATAAATTTAATGTATGCTTGTTGTAAAAAGTGTAGAAAATATAGAAAACTTGAAAAAAAAGAAATCTGAACAATGTGTTATCCTATATTTATGTTTTTAGGGGAAATTTACTTTTTCGGGGGTGGGAGATTTACTTTTGAGACTGAGTTTCCTGAGGATAGTTAGTGTCATATATATTTTTGGATTTTTCTGTTCTTTGTATGCATTAGGCAAAAAAAAAAAAATCAATGCTTGTTAAGTGAATGGGAACTTACTTAGTCTGGTTGTATTTCTCTCCCCCCCCCCCCCTTTTTATGGTATAAGTTTCAGGTGTATAGCTTTATAATTGACATCTTGTATACACTACAAAGTCTTGTTACCATCCATCACTATACAGTTGACCCCCTTTAACTGTTTTGCTTCCTCCCCACCCTCTTCCCTTCTGGTAACTACTGGTCTGCCCTCTGTATCTAGGAGTTTGTCCTTGTTTTATTTTGTTTATTTCCGATTTTTAGATTCCACATATGAGTGAAATCATAGAGTATTTGTCTTTCTCTTCCTGACTTATTTCACTTAGCATAATATCCTCAAAGTCCATCCATGTGGTTGCAAATGGCAAAATTTCATTCTTTTTATGACTGAGTAGTATTCCATTGTATATATACTCTCTTCTTTATGCATTCATCTATTAATAAGCACTTAGGTTATTTCCATGTCTTGGCTATTGCAAATAATGCTGCAGTTAGCTTAGGGTTGCATATATTTTTTCAAATTGGTGTTTTCATATTCTTCAGATCAATACCCAGAAGTGAAATACCTGTCTCATATTGTAGTTCTATTTGTAATTTTTTGAGGAATCTTCATACTGTTTTCCATAGTGGCTGCATCAATTTACAGCCCCATCAACAGTGTGCACGGGCTCCCTTTTCTCCACATCCTCTCCAACGTTTGTTATTTCTTTTCTTTGGTAATTCTAGCGTGTGTTAGGTGAAATCTCATTGTGGTTTTGATTTGCATTTCCCTAATTATTAGTGATGTTGAACATCTTTGTATGTACTATCTGTGTGTCTTTGGAGAAATTTCTCTTCAGATCCTCTGCCCATTTTTTAAATCAAGTTTTTGGGTTTTTGTTGTTGTGTTGAGTTGTATGATTTTCTATCTTAACCCCTTATTAGGGATGTGGTTTGCAGATATCTTCTCTCATTCAGTAGGTTTTCTTTGCTGTGCAGAAGCTTTTTGGTTTAACATAGTTTCCTTTATTTTTGTTTTTCTTTCCCTTGACTTTGGAGTCAGATACATATAAAGTTGTCACTGAAGCCTATGTTAAGAAGCTTCCCGCCTGTGTTTTCTTCTAGGAATTTTATGATTTCAAGTCTTATGTTCAAGTTTCTAATGCATTTCAAGTTAATTCCTGTGTGTGGTGTAAAATAGTGATCTAGTTTCATTCTTTTGCATGTTGCCATCCAATTTCCCCAGCACCATTTATTGAAGAGCCTGTCCTTTCTCCATCATATATTCTTCCTCCTTTGTCAAAGATTAATTGTCCATATGTGTATTGGTTTATTTCTGGACTTTTTATTGATCTGTGTGTCTGTTTTTGTACCAATACCATACTCTTGATTTTTACAACTTTGTACTACAGTTTGAAATCTGGGAGCGTGATTCTTTCTCCAGCTTTGTTCTTTCTCGAGATTGCTTTGACTATTTGTTACCTTTTGTGGTTCCATACAAAGTTACAGTTATTTGTTACAGTTCTGTGAGTTACACCATTGAAATTTTGATGGGTATTGCACTGAATCTGCTTGGGTAGTATTGACATTTTAACAATATTAACTCTTCTAATCCATAAGTAGGGAATATCTTTCCATTTATTTTTGTCTTCTTCAGTTTCTTTTGTGAATATCTTACAGTTTCCAGTGTGCAGGTCTTTTATCTCCTTGATTAAATTTATTCCTAGTTATTTTATTCTCTTTGATGCAGTTGTAAATGGAATTCTTTTCTTAATTTCTTTAGTCTCTGTGAATTTCTTTCTTTTTCTTTCTTAATTTAGAGCATAAATGGTGGGGAGAGGCAGAGAGAGAGAGAGAGAGGGAGGGAGGGAAGGAGAGGGAGAGAGAAATCAGGCGCTCAACCTACTAAGCCACCCAGGCATTTCTTAAAGTCAAAAGCTTGGTGAAATTTTACTGGCCATTTAAAGAGAGAAAGGAAGACATCTGACTAGCAAAAATAATAGTGGATGCATATTTTAAAGTGATACTTTTCTACTGGCTAAAATATCAAAGGAAGACATGATATGATCATTCATAATATTCTCTGGTAGAAGTTAGGAAATGAGTTTAAACTGTTGGATATGGAACCACTGGACAATTTCATATCAAAGTAGATTGGTATTTCTTTAGCAAGAACAACCTATAAAATTTAAAGACTTCTTTTAATATTTGGAAATTGTAACAACTTTCTTTTTTCTTTTTTTTAATGTTTTGTTAAACAGGATGGTTTAAATTCCTTGGTCCTTGATTTGGATTTTCCTGCTTTGAGGAAAAACAAGAATATAGATAATTTCTTAAATAGATGTGAGTAACCTTCATATTTGATCCTGTAACTATACTTTTGATAAGAAAATTATGTTTGATTAATATTAGAGTCTATAAATTAGTTTGCTAGTTGAATCGTTTAAATACCAGCATTCTTTATTTTTAAGCAGAACTGCAGATCTAGTTGCAGTATGTTAAAGTAGGTAAAGTTCAAGATTTTGTATAAATTATTAAGACGAATGATTTTAGGACAGGTTATTTTCTGGCAGTTCAAAGAGAACTTTTAAATTAACATTAACAGTTTTAAGGCCTAGATTTACATTCCTTAGGAGGCTTTATGAACTTTGTATGAATGTAGACATTTCAATCTGAGTAATGAAAGATAATGCGATAATAGTTGTAGTGTAGCTTAGTATTTGCCAGTATTGGTGTTGCAGTGAAGGTGTAAATGAGGTTGAATTCTAAGAATTCTAAGAGTAAAATTCTCAAAATGATCTAATATACACTTTATATCAACATAGTAAACTTTTTAAGTTGGAATTGTTAGAGACTGGTCTATTTTCATGATTAAACAATCTTGTCTTTAGACACTTATGTCTGCAATATGTGACTACTAGACTTAGTACACTACTAAATTCTGTTGCTACGATGAGCCTTGCAAGTAATTTCGTAGCAGCTCTCTGCCACGATCAGAATGCACTCCCAGCACTGCGCGGGCCCTCCCTGGTCAGCTGTCATCTTGTCAAACAGCAGAATAGCTTAACTCTTACTCTCTGGTAGTCAGTACTGTTTGTTTTACATGTGTTAATAAACCATAGAGTTTTGGTTCTTTTGTGTAAAGTTAATATGTATCTTAGATTTTTAAACCGCAACCTTTAAAAACTGACATATTTAGCTAACAACTAATTCCAGTTTCTTGAAATGAAAATTTGTTTACAAATATGGTGACTATTTAAAAATATTGTTTATAATCTTTTTTATGCAGATGAGAAAATTGTGAAAAAAATCAGAGGTCTGCAGATGAAGGCAGAAGACTATGATGTTGTAAAAGTTATTGGGAGAGGTGCTTTTGGTGAAGTGCAGCTGGTAAGAAAGTACTTGTTTTGTTCTTTTGTTTTATTTTTGAAGAGTTTTGTGAATATTACCAGTAGCCCCTGAGTAGATGTTATTTTTATGCCCAGCCATGCCCGAGTTAGTTTTGTGAGCTTGGTCAAATCGTGCCATCTCAGAGAAGCCTCAGTGTCTTCCTCCATCTATAAAGTAATTGTAAACTGTAAACACTAGGTTTCTTCCAGCTCTGAAGCACTGAGATTTAGAATACGGCCAGCGTGATTTCACACATGACCTTTCTAACAGTTAATATTCCACAAGAACTGTTGTATTTTTATTTAGTATGTTCAGATTAATAACATTTCTGCTTAATTAACAGATTTAATTTAGAGAATATGAGAAACCAACAAAGACATTATAGTAACTGAAAGTACACATGAAACTTATCTTTACAGATGAAAGTGGTACCAAATGGAAATATTATAGATGTTTATAATAAATATGTCATTTTATTAGTGAGGAACTGTAATGATATTTCCTGTTTTTATCACTTGAAACTCCACTGTTTTTGTCCTTATGAATTACTGTCTTTGATATATGCTTTTGAATATAGGGTCAAATTCTGTTTTTTGCTCAGTAGTGTTCTTCTGTTTTTTGATGGAGCATGAGAAAAGCACTGATCACTGTGTGTCAGCATAGTTTCTTTAGGAGCAAGTCATGACTGGCTAATTTTGTCTTTTGCTTCTCTTTCATTCCTTCTATTTTTTGATAGGTTTATTGAACTTGTAGATCAGGGTAGTGTCATAGGTGTGATATATATCTATAAGATATTTGAAAAAGTCTGTTATACCTGAAGAGGATATGGAGAAATGTCAATGGATAAGCATCTTTTATAACTAATATAATAGCTGTATTCTAAGGAGGCTGAGGAAGGCATGAGTTGTGCCTTGGACAGAGACACCCAGGGATAGGTTTTAGAGTTCTCTCTTCTCTTCACCATTTTATTCATGAGGCATTTCTTGTATGGAGGCAGTGGTGACATGGTGAATAATTTCGCAAATGAGTTAAAACTGAAGTATGAGGATGATGTCAGATGATAAGCCAAAACCCAGAAATCATCAGCTGGGAAGGTCTTTGGCTAATAGAAGTGACATTGAACCAGAATAAAAACTGTACTTAGATGCGAACAACTCAAGAAATAAATTCCTTAACAGCAATTATGAATTAAAGAACAATTTTTCTTGCATGTAAACCAGGCAAGAGTTGTTGGTGATGTGGCTGTCCAAAATAGTAAAGAAAGTTTGGATTGCTTTGATATAGGTGTTCTCTATTTTGAGATGATTGAGCCATAATGGAATATTTATTCTCTATGCACTGTTGCCCTGCTTTAAAAGGCATGTTGGTAGAGGTTACTCAAGGGATGGAATGCTCAGGAACTTGAAATGATGCCATCTGAAGTGTGGTTGAAGGAATTGAGAAGTTAATTTGAAGTAGATTTGAGGAGTGGGCTGCCTCAGAAAGTAATGTGGTTTTTGTTTGTTTTGTTTTGAGTCTGTAAAAGTGGTGAAATTTCAGCTAGTACAATGCCCTTGGGTGCGGGGGGATCAGAGATTAGATGACATGGTAGTTGAATTATGAAAGGTGTTGTAAGATAGGGGAAACTATAAAGTAGTTGAATCCTGCCTCTGCCATGGCCTAACTCAGAGATCATAGTGAGTATAGACAAGTTTCTCAATCTTTCTGAGTTCCAAACTGTAGAATACAGATGACAATACCTGTGTCATAGATTTGTTATAGGGGATCAAGTGAGTTAAAAATAAATAATCCTGGGGTGCCTGAGTAGCTTAGTTGGTTAAGTGTCAGACTTTGGCTTTGACGCTCACCACTTGTGAGTTCGAGCCTGCTTCCAGCTCTGTGCTGAGAGCTCAGAGCCTCGAGCCTGCTTCAGATTCTGTGTCTCCTTCTCTCTCTGCTCCTCCCCTGCTCATGCTCTGTCTCTCTCTCAAAAATAAACACTAAAAAAAAAAAAAGCCTGTTATAGTGTTCCCTTAGTGTTAACCACTATTAAAATTATTGCCTATTTGATATATAGATTCATACTACAAGTATTTGAAATAAATATGTTGTTTCTTCCTAATCAGGATTCAGTGTAGATAAGAGAGACTAGAATTTGGAGCTCTGTTTTTGAAAGGAAATATGACAATTTTTGACTTGTGACTTGTGTTTTTGTGGCCAGGTAGTCATTGTGTGTGGGGTTAGTTTGATAATTCAAATTCAGTTCATTACAGAAAGGAAAGGAAAAGGCTTTTATTTTTTATGTTAATTTTCCATTCCAAATTTTATTTTCTATAAAACAAATTCACATGTTTTTAAAAATGAAAAACATTTTAACATTCCATGAATCTGATGACCGGACCTAAGAACTTGGCTCATGTTTGTTTTGGCTTTAGCTCTTTGCTCTGTTACCTTTGGCAGGGAGTCTTTAAAAGGATGAGATTCAAAATGAAAAGTCCAAGTGCTTCTTCCATCGTCTTTTAAAGTTGATTTGCATGTGTTAGAGAAATTACTTTGACAGCTATGTAGGCAGTATTCCACATTTGGCACATCTTTATGATTATGTTTTTCTAGTCATCCAAAGGAAGTTTTACAATAGGTGGTGCAGATATGTCTTGTGAAATACTTTTTTTGGTCAAGTTAAAAATCTATTACCACAGAGGGCCTGCTAGTCAGCTTCTACAAAGAAAATTCTCGTTGTAAAAGTAACTTCAGTGTGTCAACAGCAGCTGTACTGTAGTATTTAAGAGCTAGAGTCCGACTGATCACAGACTTCTGACTTTCTGACTAGCTGTCAGTGCAGACAAGTTACTCACTCTGTGTCTCAGTTTCTTACCTGCTAAATGAAGATAACAGTAACAAACCCCATAGCATTACTGGAAGAATTAAATGTAATTAAATTTGGAACAGTTCTTAGAATATAGTAAGTGCTTAGTAAATGTTAGCAGTTAATTGTCACACATTAAATGGTTCATCTATCCATCCATCAATGAAATATTTAATCAAGATCTGTTTTGTTTCAGGAGCTTTGCTAGCCTCTAAAGATGCAATAACATAGCCTCGATCTTTCTGAAAGTGGTACTTTTGTGGAGGAGATAAAGAATTTTACTTAAACAAGTAAAGTATTTTCAAATTATGATAAATACTATATGAAGGAAAAGATCTGGATGTTATGAGAGAGAATAATGGAGGGATGTGCTTAATTCAGATGGGGTTGTTGGGAAAGACCTCACTGTGAGAAAATGACATTTGAGTTAAGATGTAAAGGAGTTAGCCACATAAAGAAGAGGGACTGGGGCAAGAGTCAGAATACAGAGAGAATAGCATGTCAGAAGTCAGGAAAGTGGTGGGGGGTGCTGGCTGGCTCAGTTGGTTAAGTGTCTGACTCTTGATTTTGGCTCAAGTCATGATCTCACGGTTTGTGAGTTTGAACCCTGCATCGGCCTCTGAGCTGACAGTTTGGAACCTGGTTGGGATTCTTTCTCTCCCTTCCCCCACCCCTCCTCTGCTCACGCATGCTCTTTCTCTCAAAAGAAATAAACTTCAATTAAAAAAAAAAAAAGAGGAAGTGCTAAGTCATTTAATTTATTTGAGCATAGATTTCCTCACCTGAAAAAGGCATTTATTTACAGATTGAAAAGTTCTATAATTCTAGGTGGGCAAAATTTGTTTAGCTTATTATCTTTTTCCCCCATCTACAGATTTATGTTTTTACATCATGGAAAATGTGTGACATGGGTGGTTTTATCTGATACCACTATTATTTTTAGATTCTAATCTGTTTGAATCTGTTAGCACATCTCATTTTTATGGAAAATACTACTCTGTATAGTATATTGCTTAAGAGCAATACTTTGAAGAATAGTCAGAGTCAGCTACTTTCTGTTCTATCGTATATAGATTTCCTGCCATCAGAGCTTTAATTTCCTTATCTCAGAGTAGCAAGAATAATAGAGCTTACAAGATTTTTTGTGAGGACTAAATTAGGCTGTACATATGTGGTACTTCCCAGGGATCTGGCACATTGTAGGTATTAAATAAATACTGTCTGTTGTCACTTCTGTCAGTTTCTAAGGATTTATGAATTTAAATGTTTTAATTAAAAAAAATTTTTTTAATATTTATTGGACACGGAAAATCCAAAGCAGGCTCTGTGCTATCAGTACAAAGCCCTACATGGGGCTCAAACTCATGAACTCATGTGAGATCATGAACTGAAGTCAGATGCTCAGCTGACTGAGCCGCTGAGGTGACCCTAAATGTTTTAATTTTAAACAAATCATCAGAAGTCTTGCTGTAAATTTCATATAACGTGTTGTGTGTTGGCTTGCTAGAGCCACCATAACAAAATACCACCTACTGTGGCTTAACCAGCAAACATTGATTTTTTCACAGTTCTGGAGGCTACAAGTTCAACATCAGGGTGTTAGCAGGTTTGGTTTCTCCTGAGGCCTCTCTGCTTGGCTTGTGGACAGCCTTTCCTCTCTGCTTGTATGTGCCTCCCGTGTCACTGTGCGTCCTAACTGCCTGTTCTAAGAGGGACACCAGTCAGATTGGATTAGGACCCGCCCTTACAGCCTCAGGTTAACTTACTCTCTCTTTATAGGCTCTGCCTCCAAATACAGTCACATGCGGAGGTACTAGTGGTCAGTTTCATGAGGGGTGAGGGGAGGCAGCACACAGTTCATCCCGTAACAGTATGTGTATATATGTTGGGGTGAACTTTTCAGTGAAATTACCTTTCTGAACGGATATGCGTGCTTGTTTCTTTGTTTACAGTTACATAGGACATAATCTACTTTTCTCTGAAAAAGAAAGGTACGAATTCTAGCCTGGCACATGTCTTCTTAAGGTAGATATTTAGTCTTCATCTCTGGTAATAGAATATACATTGTTCTTCAGTATTCCTTTGTTAATTGGTTAGTAAATGTCTATTTAATGTCCGGTACCATTATAAGTATTCGCAATACATTGTATAGGTG